AAACCTGAAAAAGCCCGTCTCTCTCTCTGGGTGGTCTTTTCAATGCTTCTCCTACCTATGGCTTTATCCTGACCTAATCAGTCAACCTTTATGTAAACAAAAGTCACTGACAGAAGCACAGTTTTAGATTTTTACCACGTTCCCACATAATGTTCATTCACCCTGAGATGGGAAGGAGCAGGCAAGTTTCAGTTCTCCCTGAACTAGGGGCTGTAAGTGCATGCACTGAAGATGCAAGCATACTTATTGCAATTAGTTACTGGAGGGAGGACATCCACGCTGGGAGTTGTGCAATTCTCCTGATCCCTGACTCATTCTGTACCACGCTTTGGCCTCACTGCCCCATATGCATTCCTGCAAATGTTCTGTTTCTCTGAAACCTGTGACACTTGGAGCATACTTCGAGGACCTTGAATGCGTGCCCAAAGACTATACTAACTATTTAATTAATTAGGAGATTTTACTAAGAGTTCAAGTGGGGCTTTTCCACAGTCTTAAAGCTTCTTTGTGCCTGATTTTTCTCACCCTAAATAAATGGACCATGGGCCACATACGATGAAGCACTATGAGCAACCTGCAGCTATCATGAAATAGCTTTCTGTGCTTCTCCAAGCTACTCCAGATCTTCAAAGCTTCTGCAGCCTAACACTATATTATTTGCATCTTCTGCTAATACTTGCAACCTCAGCAAAAGCAGCAGTGACATATAAACCTGTTCCTTTTTCTAGCATAGACGTTCTTAAGTATTTTCTGTGAGTAACATTTTGGAAGCTTTCCACAGCAATATTAATATAGAAAATTGAATTCAGAGACATAGAAGACTTTATGAAAGACGCCACAAAAGGACCCACTACTTTAAAATCATCTAATATTCTGAGTTTGAAGGGATCCACAAGGATCAAGTCCAACCCCTGACTCCACCCAAAATCGAATCCTGTGTCTGAAAGCATTGTTCAAACACTCCTTGAACTCCAGCATTTGGGGCCATGCCCACTGCCTGGGGCAGCCTGTTCCATGCCACCAGGTGGGTAACTTTGTAACACTTGTACCCACTTGCTTTTTCCTGGAATAACACATATTAGTAAAGTTTGTACTAGTTTGGAATACGGACCTGACCATTTACATTCTACAAAGACTATGGAGATACTGAAGAAATTTTAGAGAAAAATACAGAAGTATTAAATGGATGAGGAAAGCACCCGACTGCAAGAGAATTAAGAGCTGCTGTTATCAGCAGGTGTTTGGAAACAGCAGTGGATGGATGCATGGTGAGAAGCACCAGAGAACAGAAAACATTTAATTAAACGAGAATCTAAATCCCGCTGGCAAAACACAGAAGAATTCAAATTATTGTGACTAATTTCCACTGTAACTGGAGCAAAGTACCAAAGGAAGTGGTGGAGTCAGTGTCACTAGAAGGCTTCAAATATCTTGGATGTTTTACGGTAGACTTCTGAGAAATACACCTTTTTTCCCAATCAAGAGCAAGAAAACATGCTCAGCTAGCCTCACCAGCAACAGCCAGTATCCAGCAAAAAAGCATCAAAACATTTATTTCTACATATAAGAACATTTCAAAATGGGGTTATCAGAAGAAAGCCGGATATGAATAAGTCAGTCCAACGTTTTAGATCACCTGAACAGGATGATGATTATGGAGCCAGAACAAAAAATATTCAAAGAATTTAATAAACAGCTCCATCTTCCCCAAAGCAATGGTCCTGAAGCAGACTGAGTGGAACATAGGGATGTCTCCTAAAGCCAGTCCTATCTGCAAGGGGCAGACTGGAAACACAAACTGTGAAACACTGCTAAGTTTTTCCTTAACTGGTCTATGACAAGTGCCACACAAAAATTCCCTCATGTCAGAGAACAGCAGAAAACATACTTTTTTTTAATCTATCCGTTTGAAGCTGCACTCTATTAGATTCATGGCAGTAAAAGTTAATGTTTCTGATTTAATGCATTCTGTTGAGATTTAACTTTTTACCTGCCTCTTTGTACTATTGTGAATTGAGTAAAGATAATACCAAAGTAAAGAAAAACTAGAACACAGGAAAGTAAGTGAAGATTCAGTGACTGCAGCTGAAGGAGCGCACACTCTTTAAACCGCTCTTCAAAGAGAGGGGAAAATGTTCCTGGCAAGCACTATAGTTTTGCATTTTCAGAATTTTATTCAGCAGAACTAACTGTGCCTCTGAAACATGCCTGTGCTCAAATTCATCAGTGACCTAAGCCTTAATTCCCTTCCACTGGAGATTTTTTCTGGAAAGAAACTATAGGCAATAAGCCTTTTTTTTTTTTTTTTTTTTTTTTTTTTTTTTTTTTTTCTTTTTTTTTTCCTCCAGTTGGAAACAATCTAAATAGCACAAATAAATGACATGTTTTTCTGAATATTCAAAGAGCTTTAAGTGCTGACAAGACTATAAGCAGGTGCAAGTTGCAAAAGAGGAAAATCTAAATGATTTGTGAATGCTGTTATTCACATCAGGGACATTAAACAAAAAGCGTGTTTATTTTTCTTACTACCGTTTGGGAAGCTGAGAGGCATCAAAAACTGGAGGTGAAGCAAACTTCTGTTTTGCAAGACTCTGCTTATGTTTTATCTCCTTCTCTACTACTATTTCATCTCCTTCTCTACTACCCAACTATATGCTTTAAACAGTTTACAGCAATCCCTGCGGATTCTGAAGGAAGTTTTAAAAAAAATAATAAAAAAAAAAGAATGACCTTGAATCTTACTGGAAGAGTGGTGAAGATAACTTGCCTTTACCTCCTGTCTGTCTGTTTAGCAAGCACAGGTAGAAGGAGAATAAAGTGTTCTCTGTCCCTTTCTGCAAATAAAACCCTAAATTCCAAAGATATAAAATACAAAATGAGAAGTAGGTTTGGTTGCTGGACTAAGGCCCAGCGTGGCTGTCCATGAAAAACTTTGTTATCTCTCAGAATGGTTCTGCTACAACGCCTTGAAGAAAGTGCGGTCTCCTTCCTTGCGAAGTGGGCCTCTTTAATCTTTAAGCTGTGTTATCTTGTACTTACTGCCCAAAGAAGTTATGTATGCCCCACTCCTGAAGTGTTCAAGGTCAGGTTGAATGGGAAACTGGGCAAGCTGATCTAATCATTGGCAACCCTGCCTATTGTAGGGGAGTTAGAACTGGATGGTCTTTCATCTCCCTTCCATTTCAAGTCATTCCATGGTTCTACGATTCTGTTTCACTCTCCACTGTACTGATTTCTCACTAACATTTGTTGCATAAAGTCTTGAGTTGACAGTCACAAAACATCACACTGATATTTTTATGCTGTTTCTTTTAATTTTTATGGTATCATTTGGTTTTTATGTTGACATCACAATTAGATTTAATACCACCAATAAATTTTGAAACTAGAAGAAAACTCTCACAAATATTCCGTTTATCAGAAAACACTACAAAATGCTAAACCTAAATTAAGCAAAGTTGATGAACTTTAATGATATTTCATTTAAATTACTAATCAGTCTCTTCACACCAGAGAGCTGCTAATTAAAACAAATCTCTCTCAGTAAAAGGAAAAATACGTTCTTAAGATTTGCAAGTAACAACCAAAAGGAAATTGCAAGCGTTCTTATACATTTCATGTAGTTCTACATAACGTTACAAATCTGTATTGGAAGAAAAGTGGAGACAGATTAAATCTTATGCATACACAAAAGAAACAATTACCTGTATAACAAGGATGCATCATATTTACAGGAAATGGAACCATAGGAGGAGCAAGAGGTAAACACGTTCATGTTTTTCCTCATATCTAATGCTATGTACCATCTGTGAAAAATCAGTTTCATTCAAGAACTTCCCTTTGACCCTCAGGCATGTTACTTGTTTGATCCTGCATTTCAGCTGGGAGAAGAGATTATTTACCAAAGATGTGAAGTCCTATTCTAATGAGTTTTGTAATTTAAAAATAATGTAAACAGAATTGTTGCAGAATCAAACTAGAGAAGATCAAAATTCTGTTTAACTATTCAGGTTTTCATGCAATGAAATCATGCCCATATTCAGTTACAGGCAAGATCAACTTTCAATTCTTCAAAATAGTGTATTTTCTGAAAAAACACCCCCCTTACTATACATTCTCCACCCATGCCTGAAGCCATACACTCAAAGCAGATGCATTAACATTACTGCATAAGTAAAACACTGGGCAGCTAGGCAAGCTTCTGCAAAGACCTCTAGAAAATTCACACTTCTGCAGAAGTTCTTTTATCTTAACACCATGAGTCCAAATCAGTAGCACAGATGGCACAGATCCTGAATATAATTTTAAAATTAAATTTAATGCCTGGGCAATAATCATCTGCAGTCAGCTTTAACCTCTGTATCCTGGCTTAATGCTAACTGGCACAACTCACATCCTTCCAAAAACTCCTCAGAAGTTTCATCCAAACTCATTTTTCTTCCCATTCTATGCTATAAATGTCTCTAGAGTCTTACTGTGTATTTTCAATAGCTGCTACTCTTCATTATACTCTCATGATACAGAGCGTAATTCATTTGCATGGTTTACACATCTGTATTCTACAGAATCTGGATTGTTTTACCAATACAAAATTAAATTGGTTAAATAAAAGCCCAAGTACGAAACTAATCAATAACTTAGTGGAGTTTTCATTCATAGACTAGCAAACAGAGATGAAACATTCAGGAAAGTCTGACGCCACTTTTAAAGCATTAATGCATAGCTTAAAGACACAAGCTGTCAACTCATACATGTTAGCTGGAAATGATATAAACCAAGGTAACCCCAGTGGTAGAAGCATGCAACAGCTTTCTGGATTTTCAAAAACATACTGTACATGACTATTTGGTAGCAGAGAGATAGCAAGAAAAATCCCCTCTAAATGCAACTTTCATTGCCAGAAAAAGTGTCTATTGTATTATTTATACTTAAAAAAGAAGGGAATATATTCTCTGTATTACAACCAATAAAAAATATTTTTAAATGAAAAAATGCCTTACCTTGAGAAGTTGAGGAAATGAACATGTCTAGTGAATAAATAGGGCTGCTCAGCAGTGCTTATGTTTCTAATCAATTCCATCTAAAAAGAATTAACAAATCAAATTATCCATGTTATTGCAAGGCATACCTGGAGACAAATATAACTATCAAACAACATACAGTGGTTTAATTTTCAAGTCAACGTTACTCAGGTTCTTCTTCACTATCCCTCCCAAACACTATTACCAAGATAGCACTACTACTATTTCACACCTAAGCAAAAAGGTTAAAGATGCAAACACTATTATGCCATCACAAAGTTAACATACTTCCAAAAGTGGGTATCAATTTAAAGAAAGGCATAAACATAAAGAAAAAAAAAATCTAAATTCTGCACCAGAAGTTTGCATGCAGCTGCTATCTTCTGAAGACACTGGCTCTATCAGACAGAATGCCAAAATGAAAAGTCTCAGAAAATGAGAGCTCAATCAATTTGGGACAGACGAGCATGCCAGAAAATCATGTGCAGACTGTACGAATATTGAGCTACCAGCCCCAATTTAGAAAGCCCATGACACCTTCTTGCAATGATCACACTGAGTTTATATTGTTAATGTTCTCAGAAGAGAAGGGCTTCCTAGCAAAGCAAATAAACTGACATTTAGTTAGGACTGGTAACTGTCAAAAAAATTGTATTTGTCTGCCTAGCTTTCAAAATGAAACAGAGGAAATAGATACTCTAGAGACTGGATATCAGATGTCTCACTTAGTTTATTTTTTTGCCTGTTTGTTTTCACCCAGCCAAGTTACAGGAGAACTGAAACCCTCAGAACTGTATGAAGCTTTATGATATATGGGTATTTTATCTGTTACTCTGTCTGTATGAACGAATGGCAAAGTGAAGATATTCATACAGGAAAAAAACTCAACTCACTACTGTCACCACTATAATTCCATCTTGGAATAAACAAAGAATCATCATTATAGCATAAATACAAGATGTAAAGATTATTACCTGTTCAACACAGGAGAGCTGGACTAGATGACCTTTAAAGGTCCCTTCCAACTCTAGTTATTTTATGACTCCATGGCTATAAATGTAAGAAGTAACTACCTTGACTTTAAATGCATGGGTCACTTTAAAATAGTAACAAGAGACAAATTGGAGAGGTACATGTGAGTACCACAGGAACATCCATTGCCTCACTCTGCAGCAGGTAGCAACTGGCCAGCACTGTGCTGATTCCCACTGAAATAACACAGCACTTCTCATTGTGCTTCACCTCATGCGGCAGGCTTGAGTCAGTCTGCTGCTGGACTAGCAGGGTACTTCTGCATCAGGAACAGAGGTACTCTGCAAAGATGCTGGACAGCATCTGGCTGCCTGGTGGTTTTTTTGTTTTGTTTTGTTTCTTTTTTAAAGCTCTTGCTACCAAACTCAATCTCTTGTGCTATAATAACTTACTATAAAGCAGATGCGGAATTCTGTTTTGACTTGAAGTACCTTCACATTTAGACACTTAATGTTCAACAGGACTTGTATGCAGATGTGGATAAAGCTACAATGTGCATATGAACAAACAAGCACAAAACATTCTTTTAAAAACCCTGCCAAAAGAGTAAGTAAGGCTCAGAAGATACAACACACAGATGTCAGGAGGGAAAAATAAATAACCGTAATGGCTCACAGCCACATGCAAATTGTGGCCATATTTCCCAAGGGCTCCTCTCTCTCTGATCCCAATTGCGCTGAACTGATTTCAGCTTAATGAGCCAAATGTACTGCTCAGGAATACGAAGGAATCCAGCCCTCTTTTGAAAGTGATGCAAAAAGAAATAAAATCTTCCAGTGTCTCCCAGAGGAGTAGGGCCTCTAGTAGATCTCTTCTACAAGAAGACTGGTAAACCCATGGGTGACACATGGAGAGAATAAGTAGTGATCGAGACCCCTAGAAAGTGAGTTGAATGGAATGGCAATGATGGAAGGGAAGAGACCATCTGAAGTACCATCTGAAGACCATCAGAAGTACCATCTGGAAAATGGTCTTAAACCACCCTAAATGCTGCTTTGCTCCCTAGCATAACATCTTTCTACTGCTGTGCAACCTTCCTTAAGCTTTCATTCTACTTTTTTTCCTCCAAAATCCAATTTCTGCATTCACACTTAAACAGGACCATTAAAAAAGACCAGATCTGCAGAGGCAACTCTATAAACTGCAAACCATTTTTGAGTCCTAATGTCCACCTGAGCAAGAAAACCAAGAGGCCACACTCACAGAACAAAACATTTTTCTTTAGACTACTGTTTTCATTATAATTTTAGGATCTCAGCTGGCCAACGTAAGTCATCATGCTTAACATCAGCAGCGCTATTTATATTTGGTCATTGCTGCATTGCAAATAACAATCCAGCAGATGGCACAATAAAATGACTTGGTGAGTGACTGCAAGGAGCCCTGCCCATAAGGAAAGAAACATGGAGGATGGCTTTGTTCCAGCCACAGCATCACTCCTACACCAAAACTCAACCCAGCCTTGCAAGACAGGACATCTCTCTCTCTTCCATAAACACCTACCCTCCACCACAGGCCTGCTCAGAGCAGACCTATTTAGTTCAGGATTTGTAATAGGTAAATTCAACTGAGAACAAAAAGACATAATCATTTCTTTGAACATAAAAAACATTCCTACTCTCTCAAACTGCTGTGTTTCATTGGGAGAGAATCTGTGGTCAAAATGTACAAAGATGATAGGATATGTGATTTTCCAAGTCAGATCAGATGGTGACACTATGGTTCCCTGTAACTAATATAAATAGGATGAAAGATTATCTGAATCTGACTCTCTTTCGAGTTATTTACCTTTTTCTATACATGCTACCATCTCTCCTGAAGGCATGTAGGATCCAGGAGGCACAAGTATCTACAGGTACTTGGTGTATCACTTTCATCTCGGTATTACTTCATTTCCATAAACAATTCAGAGCTCACAGGAATGAGACCCAATCATCGTTTTAACTCTCAGAGATTTGGAATTGTTTCAAAATTTTCTTAAACTCCCCAAGCTGCTTAGGACCAATTTTCTATTTTTAAAAGCACTCAAGAAAAAACAGCAATGGACTTTTAGTGTGTTAAACCTGAATTATGAATAAAGCTGGTGCCTGTCCAAAGGACGTGTAGTAGAGGGAAATGATGTGAGGACAATCAGTTACTCCCATACGTACCAGTATCTGCACATCTATAAACATAATCATTTTTCCTTCTCTGAATCCAAGAACTGGGGACAGGGGTAATCAGAGGAGGGGAGGAATTCATTTTGCATTAGTACATCTGTCACTTTAAAGCCACATCAATTAGGTTGTCATTGTATATATAAATACTATACGTAAGTTCTGTAATTAGAAGTTTCCAATTGTTAATTGAAAACATTACAGTAAATGGTAAGGCAAAAATTAACTCATCTTTTTCCAGAAGCCTCTCCCTTATGCCCATGGATGTTCAATGGCTGCACTCCTAATTGCTGGCAGGCAGACGTAATTTGGGAAGATTTCTTACTAAGAAAACTGTAAAAGGCACCCAACATACGGATTTCAGTTACATGTAATCTCCACAGTCATTAAGAACACCTACGTACTTTATTTAACACTAACAGACTGCACAAGCTAAATATTTACAGAAAAATCTTGGCTGGACCAAAGCTCTAACCAAACACAGGACAGACAAATGACAGGAGGAAGAAAGCAATAACATCTCAAGCAAGTAGCTCATGCTGGGAGCCTACAGCCCAGCCCATTCCTGTTTTCTCTCATTCCAATGCCTGGAACCTGAGACCATTTGTTCTCTTAATTGCTTCTTATACCACATTAAAGATGGGAGAAAGAACAACAACGCATATGCCCCTTCCCTTCACTCCAGTGCGCAATACAGGCAGGCCAGGCAACAACGGACAAGGAGAAGGCTGAGGTACTCAACAACTTTTTTGCTTCAGTCTTCACTAGCAATTGCTCTTCACACCCCCCTCAAGTGAATGGGTCAGAAGCTGGGGACTGGGAAAGCAATGTCCACCCCACCATAAGTGACAATCAGGTCTGAAAACACCTGAGGAACCTTAATGGGTCCTGATGAGATGCATCCCAGATTCATGCAGTCAACAAGCCACTCTCAATAATATTTGAGAAGTCATAGGAGTCAGGTGAAGTCCCTGGGGAAAAAAGGCAATGTCACACTGATTTTTAAGAAGGGTAGAAAGAACAACATAGGCCACTACTGACCTGTCTGCTTCACCTCTGCGCTAGGGAAGGTCATAGAACAGATCTTCCTGGAAGCTATGATAAGGCACGTAAAAGAGGAGGTGGTGATACAGAACAACCAGCATGGCTTCACCAAGGGCAAATCCTGCTTGACCAACCTAGTGGCCTTTTATGATGGTGTCACTGCATTAATGGACAAAGAAAGAGTCACTGATGTAATCTATCTGGACTTCAGTAATGCCTCTCACACAGGTCCCACAACATCCTTCTCTCCAAACTGGAAAGATACAGACTTGATGAATGCGTTGTTCAATTGAGAAAAAAAACTTGTTGCTAGATTGTACCCAGAGAGTAGTGGTTAATGTATCAACATCCAGATGGAAATCAGAGACAAATGGTATCCCTCACGGGTCAGTACTGGAACTAATGCCCTTCAACATCTTCACCAATGACCTCAACAATGGGACTGAGTGCATCCTTAGCAAGTTTGTAGATGATACTAAGCTGTGTAGTGTGGCTGACACACCAGAGGGATGGGATGCCATCCAGAGAGACCTAGGCAGGCTTGAGAAGAACCTCACGCATTTCAACAAAGCCAAGCGTGAGGTCTTGTACTGATAGTGGGGGTTGCCACCTGTGTACAAGTGGAAGGATGAAAGAATGGAGCACAACCCTGCTGAAAAAGACTTCAGAGTACTGGTGGATGGTAAGCTGGACATGAGTCAGCAATGTGTCTTTGCAGCCCAGAAAGCCAACTGTATCTTGGGCTGCATCAAAAGAAGTGAGGCCAGCAGGTCAAGGGAGGTGATCCTGCCTCTCTATTCTGCACTGGTGAGGCCTCACCTGGAGTACTATGTCCAGATGTGCAGTTCTCAGTATAGAAAAGACATGGACCTGCTAGAGTGCATACAGAGGAGGGCTGCAAAAAACAGGGATCCATCCAGGGGATGGAACAACTCTCCTATGAGGACAGGCTGAGAGAGCTAGGGCTGTTCAGCCTGAAGAGAAGAAGGCCCCAGAGAGACCTGATAGCATCTTTTCAACTTCTAAAAGGGGGCTACATAAAAGAAAAGGGCAGACTCTTTAGCAGTGTCCGCTGTGGTAGGACAAGAGGAAATGGTTTCAAACTAAAAGAGGGGAGATCTAGATTAATTATAAGCAGAAAGTTTTTTTTATGATGAGAGTAGCGAAGCATTGAAGCAGGCTGCCCAGATATTTCGTTCTCAGAGTCATTCACAGTCAGGCTGGATGGGGCTGTGAGAAACTTTATCTAGCTGTAGACGTCCCTGTTCATTGCACAGCATTTGGACTAGATGTCTTTTAAGGGTCCCTTCCACTTCAAATGATTCTATGATTCTTTTCAATTTAATACTTCGATTCAAAAATCAAAACACAACTGAAGATACCTTAAAAGAGAGAAAAGTCAGTATCGCCAGTCATGTAACCTTTGTTTTCCAGCAAAAGTAATCATTACATTCTGAACCTATTGTAACTATGTAAATAAGCCATAAATCAAAATAAAGAGACTAAACTTACTGCAGAACATAGCAGAAAGTAAATCCACATCTCTATAGCAATACGTACTCCACTATCTGTGTTCCTGGATATTTCCCATATGGTAACCAAACAGCTTGTAGAGTGCAAAAAAAAAACAAGGCAACTGTTGCACTAAAATTCAGTCTGAGCTTCTTCGAATCCTGATATTTCAGACTGAAGCTGAGAAGACTGTTTAATATGATCTTTCACTAGGTTTAACACGTTTCTGCATACCAGAGAAATGTAGCAGATTATAAGGGTGGAAGACTGTGGTTGTTGCTACCTCAGAGGATTTTAGATTTTCTTTTACATCTCCAAATCAGTAATGAATCAAAAAAACCCGAAACAAATCAAAACACAAAAACTATCATGCCAATAAAAATCGCCTATCCCATACCCAACAATTAAGCAGAAATAGTTAAAAGAAGAAAGAATAACATGACAGTTTGCCCTTTGATCCAATGGGACCATTCTGCAAACTCCCCAGGCTGTACATGGCTGACAGCATGGTGCTAGCAGCAGCCCATATGCACACAAAGAGGCTGTGACAGCTGCAGCCTCTGTCTCTGCCATCAGTCAATGAGTGGGCCTAAGCAGGGTAGCAGGAGTGACACTGGCCTCCTCCACAGCCTTTTGGCTGGCGTGGCAGCCCTGGATTGCCAGTCCCCCAACAACAAGGGCCCTAAAAGGGTAGGTGATCCGCTCACTGCCTGTGGGATCTTGATGGCAGTACTGGAAAGAGGGAACTTGGGAACTGCAGTAGCAACATCTGCTCTCAAATTTTAAATCGGAACAAACTGTTATATCCAAAATAACAAACACTGAAACTTACGCTCATAAAAAGGCTACAGATAAAGAACCCCTAGCCACAGGACGTTGTCACTGGTAGGCCTAAGTCTGTATTTTGATCACTGCATACATCCTGTTGCGGTTTGCTAATCTTAGGGGTGACGCAGGCATTTGCTGCAGCATTTACCTGAATCAGCAGATCAAAAGAACAGCTGTAGGTAACATGAAACAGCCATGTGTAATGCATATGAATTAATCAGTACACTTTGGAGACTGAGGGTTTTTTTTTTTGAGTTACTTGCATCAATACCTATTGATGGCATTGACACTTGTGAGCACATGGTTACCCAAGATACAAATGAATATAAATAATAAAATCTTTTGGTCTCAAAGTTGCAAAAAGTATGTCCTTTATAGTTTTAAGGAAACATGAGTTTAAGGGAACATAAAAAGGGGTTTCTAGGTAGACAGGTTTCACTTGTATTTGCTTTACGTCGCACAATAACATGAAAAAGGCAGATAAGTAAGAGGCTGAGACAGGATCAAGGATGTGTTAGACTATGGCAACAAGGTTTAGCATGGACCTGGGTAAGAATTTTTTGAAGCAAGTGATTATTAACAGTGGATTAGAAACTGCTGAATTTTACTTATATGTACTCTGCTTAAGAGTCCCAAGCTAGCTCTGCATATGCTGGCACGTCTATATGACAAATGGCTGTGCCCTGCAGATACATTAATACAGGTCCCAGAAGCTGTTAGCACCTAACTTCACTTGTAGTAACCCTTCTTATGCCCCTGGACTGACGCTGGGCTAATTGCTATGTTGAGTACATTCAAGAGCTGGCTAAATGGAAGCTAGTTTTTCTTGTAACCCTCCACATCGTGTTGCTCTTGGCTCTACAGCACAATTCTCCAGTGAACTGAAGCCACTTCAAGGATGATGATTTCTGGCACGTTACCCAGGTCAAAGCTGTATTACTGTATATGCCTTTGTATATTGTATATGCACATGCCTTTGTTTCTCAGCTTCACAAATGCAATAGAACAGGCTCTAAGTTGAGCAGGAGTAGCTTACCTGTTCGTTTTTGGTCAGTCTTGTTTTGTTATGAATGTCAGATGTTACCAGGTTGAATCCATGTTTCTCTGATAAAATTCTCAAAAGCAAAACCACAGTTCTACTCCCACACTTTCCAACTCTGTTGTAGACCACCTGGCTGGGGAAAGGAAGTACCTAAGTAAAGATTGAAAAATATTGAGTCAGTATATTGGTACTTTTGCTTCTTTGTATCTCAATCAGAGAATATTTTGCCCGTAAGCCAACAGATATGTAGAAGAGAATTTCTAGGATTCTGCCCACATCAAAAGGATTCACTTCCAGCTAGCTATAAGCTCTTCTTATAAAAAGGCACGTCATTCAGGAGATGACAAACTGAATTTCCCCTTGTGATACAGTTTATAGTAACAGTGCAGATTAGTAGCCACTCAAGAAATATTAAACCACTGCTGATGACTTCCAGTGAAGACGGTGATGAGCTTAAGAATACTGACTGCCTCCATACAACGAACTGCAGTGAACTAGCACTGCAGTTTGGCAGCTCCGAGTGAAGTTGATCTAATGAAAGAGGAATGCTTGAGTTGCAAAACTTCAGTATAAAAAAAAAAAAAAAAAAAAAAAAAAGCAGCAACCAGTTAGAGAGAGCTAAAATCAATCATTTCAATCTAAAATTTAAACAAGAATCTTCTGAAGACCTAGAGAAGGAATCTGACACTGGAGAGGCATGTACTTGTGCAACAAACAATACCAATCAGCCACTGCTGGGCCTGGAGGACAAATGGCAAACTCTGGTCACACAGGTGATATTCACTCAGTATCAAACCAGACTGGCCACATCTTACCTGCCTACTGGCAGTGGTCTCCAGGCCCAAGTCACTGTTGCAGCATGCTCTCCCTCCCTGTTTGGGACATTGTTAGTTGACTTGAACTACAACAATTCCTAAGATTTATCTGAATAATTTAAGAGAACAGGCAGCTGTGATCCTAGGCTCTCCTAGGCACTCCTCATGCATGTGCTGCAGGCCTCAGTGTTCTTCACAGATATCATCTCTCTGAAGCTGTACTTCTGAAGCAGACAAGTTTTCTCGGAGCTCCAAAGCACAAAAGAGAGGGTAGAAAAGTTTGACGTTTCTTTTCCCAGTTATTTCTCCAAAATTCCTACCATAGTTTAGCAACAGTAATTGTATGATATTTATTGCTGCCTTTGAGGCAAAGAACAGAGAGGCCAGGAGTGCAGGTGGAGTACTTGTGTGATTGTACTAGTATTTTTGTGAGGCACAACTATCAGAGCTTTTAATAATAGTGAACTAAATGTTTTTAGGCAGCTTAAGTATTCTAGGTGAGAAGTTCTTTGAAAATAAACATAGCAACATGCCACTGCACCTTATATGTGTATAACCAAAGAATATTAGGATGTTATAATCACAAAATAAGCAAGAGAATTAGGCAAAGTAGACTATGATAACAAAAGAGAATAAATAGAAGGCTTACCCCTATCCTGGGCTCACTCACACAACACCAGTAGAGGCGATCTCCAGAAGAGATCCTTCCCCACTGGTAGCCAGCTCTTAAGTAGGTCTAGGAGAGATGGAGCCAGGCTTCACCCCTTCAGCAGCACAGGTGAATTGCCTTCACCTGTGCTCCCATGGCTGACTCATTGCTTGCCTCAGGTGATCAATCAGAGGTTCAGGCCGTGACAGTATGTTTGACGAACATTATCGAGTTTAGCATTTTTAATGAAGGAGTTTTATTACCAGGTGTATTGAAGTTCAGTTTAGATTAATCATGGGAATAATAAGATCAACAACACACAGAGCAGTATGGTTTGACCCCTAAATCATCCAGGGAAAGGTGGCAGCTCTACTGTCACAACTTTCATGGAAGAAAGAATTGGATAACTGAGAGGTGAATGTGTTATTGTGATTTGTGAGCGTAGAAAGCAATCACAATGTCCTTCATTACAGTAAGTCCAGTGATGACTTATGGTCACGTGTCTGTCTGCATCTAATGTAAAATTGTACATTAAATTAGAATTTAGAATTAAAACTTAGAAAAATTTAAAATTAGAATTTAGAATTACCATCTTGAATACAGCAACCTGCAGGCTTGTCAAACTGAGATCTGACACAGATGGGTGAGTACCTGTCTCTGCTCCAGAGAGAAGTTTCCTCTTAGCTATTACCTTTCTTAGCTATTACAGCCAGCAGGGAAAAGCTTGTTGATTACTTTTCCAAATGAATATTTAGAAATACCTTTTATTAACTGCCAAATTACAAACTGAAGTTCATTAAACCTGCTTTCATACATTTACACCAGCTGTTTTCCACTTCTGGAATATGTGGAAAACGTCTGTCTTGCCTTTGAGTCAAGAAAACCAGTGTCACAATTGATGGACTCATCTTTTAAATATTGTATATACAATCACAATTTAGACATGCTTCATGAAGGATTTTTTTTTTTTTTTTTTTTTTTGCTATGCGGGCCTTAGTTATTTGTTTCTATTCAGTCATGCCAGGTATAGTACCAGCAGCATACCAATGACCAATGCTTCTCCTCTTCTGTCCTTGCTTTGCCCTCTCCGCGTCCCCTACAGATCTCTGTCACTATCCTAGGCACATCACAGTTTTTACAACAGGGAAAAAAAAGCATCCTCTGCAGACACAATCTGGCAGAAGTAGTTTTCTGTTCATTCAGCAGTTCTGATTTCTTCAGTATATTGAGACAGGGTCATTGTTTACTATCTATTGTGTATTGCATGGTAATTTTAGCTATTCCATTAAAAAAACAACCTTGTATCTCCTAAGTTCCAGCTGATCCTCACTGGTAGTAAAGACAAGACTGGTGAAGCACTGACCCTGCACATTCTAGCCTACTGTTTCTCCTCGGAATGCCAGTCCCTTAGCTCAATATCACCCATGCGGCATCTCTTGGAATTCTGATCCTCAAAACACAGTACAATGCATTTCACTGTACTTGTTACTGCCCAAATGCTACTGCTGCTTGATATTTCAGAATTTCCTCAACTTCAGCCAGATGTCAAAGCAAAATGATGAGAAATATTGTAGGCATCTACTTTGCATAGCCATTCCGGCAGCATATAGAAAAGACGATCCAGTCCGCTTTGTAAGATAAATAAAACTTGTTTGTTACTTATCTTCTAAGAACAGAATGTTTTGTCACTCCAGTATACATTTCTAATGTTCCAGAAGTCAGAGTACCACTGCTACGTGTAGTATGTCTTAATAAACCAAATAAACAAACAAAAAAACCTACATAAAACAAAAAACATAGAAAGATTCTATTGCTCAGGACCACTACAAAGAAAGAACTATTCCATGCTATATTTAATATTTGCAGACCTGTTTAGGAGCTTATATAATAAAACTGGGAAACCAGAAAATCAGAAAGTGCAAGCAGTAATTCACTGTTCTAAAGGAAGCTGGATGCAGTTTTGTTTTGTCCCTGGACAATTTCCATGGATTATTTTTTCAGCAAAAGGCATTCTGAAGTCACATTATCACATTAGACAAATATTTGGTACAGCAAAAACCAACAGCATCAAATTCTATAGGTGAAGAAGCATCTGCTTTCAAGCCTTTTAAATTGGCTAACATTGTCAGGACCTCATGGTTTCACCAACAGCAGGGCATGTATGCCACTCACATAGGGAAAGCCTGCATTTCTATTAAGAAGGCTGCAAAAAAATGTTTCCATATACATGGCTGATGCCCTGGTTCTGCATTTCAGGTATGTCTCATGATATTTGAACAGCTAATAGATCTTCATCATAGAAGCAAAACGATTCCTCAAGCAGCCCCTAAGATTACTTCCAAAGAGAACTGCAAGCTAGAGAAAAAAATTAAAGGAGAAATAAGGATACCCTTTATAATGAATGGGAATATATTGAGATATCCGTGGCATTTTTCTGCCAACATTATACTTTATTATCAAAGGAACATTACTATTGCTACCGTTAGCAATGTTTAGTATATCCTTCTCTGTACCATAACCATAAAAGCTATTATTCCTCAAATTAGCTGGGGAAGGAATAGGTATTTGGCAATTGCTGGTTTGGTTGAGCTTTCTCCAGGACATCTCATCTGCTGATGCAGTAGTGAATGTGGGCCTCCCAGGGCTCATCTAAAACCCACAGAACACACAAAGCCTCCTCTTTTTGCAACATTTATATGAAAGTTTTCTGTCAGAAACCTCCCCCCCTTAATCTTCATCAACCTTTTCCACAGAAGCCTTCCTTTCCATGAAATTCAAAATCTCACCCTTAGTGACTTCAGAACACTACAGGTCATGAATTTAACATCTGCACTGTACAGCGGTAACTAACATTTGATTTTGTAAGAATTTGTAAGGCTATGGAAACATTAAACAATGCTTCGTAATTATTAACTGCTTTGATTTTCATAGCAGAGTTGCACTTTGCAATACAGTGAGCGAAGTTTTCCACCTGATATTTCACTCATTTCCAGCGGAATTTTACTGCACTCAGATTAAATTTAATTTCCAATTAAATCCCTGATTTGATTAGCCAATATCTTTTGGCTGAATCATACTAATATTATTCTTAATTAAAATTCTTAAAAGATTAAAATAAAACTGGGGCGTTGTAAAGTTTCTGTTCTACATACAAACAACTTGCCAGCCAAAATCAACAAGTGATTCTAAGTCGGCCAGTTCTCACCTTTGTCTCCAAAACTCATTTTCTCAGGTAGGGCAGTTCTGTTCTGTACACAGACAATAACCATGACAACCCCCCAAAAAGAAGCCATAAACAAATTCTCACTCCAGATAGAGAAATCTGAAATAAGGGGCCATTATTTCCAGCCAACTGTTCAGTTTAAAGGAGGCCAATATATCAATGCCCTGATTGAGAAAACATCTGAATGCACTTTGGTAAAATCGAACAAGATTCCAGATAAATGCTACCGCTCTATGACCGCTTTAGAAGAACACAATAATTAACTGTAATCAAATCTTCACTTGTGGCGCTGCTGAATGCGGCTAACTTTAAGGATTCATTGCCGGAGCTTTACTAAGGTTTTATTTACGTCACTACTCCACTTTAACACCGTAAGGCACCAGAAAGTACACCTGATAAACAAAGCCGTGCAGCAGAGAGATTTTTGGTACTTAAGCATGTATTTGTTTAACGTGACCAATTC